TCATGTGATTTGTTGTTTTTCTGTTATTGTTGTTTGTTGTTGTTTGTTGTTGTTTGTTGTAATTGTTTATCATCTTTGTTTATCTTCATCATATAGTTTTTGGTATACTTCCTTTGTTTATTTTTTATTACATATTGTAATTCTTGTATTATCAAAACAGATTTATAATTCAGAGTCAAGGTTAATTTCTAAAAATTCACAAAGCACAACTTGATTTTTTTTATCAAAAGCTTACCCTTTTTTTCCTCTCTTACTATATATCTTGATCAGGTCTTTATATATAATTTTAAATTTTTTATCTCTCTTTCCTTCTAAAAAATTATCTGATTTTTGTAATATCTTTAATATTAAAAAACTTGAACTTTTTTGTTATATTATATAACAGAAATTACAATATAATACTAACAAATTTTTTTTATAACTCATTTGTAATATTTTATTGTAAGTTTTACTAGTTATTAAGCTCTAAAGTCAGATTCTTAATAAAAATTATATACAAAATTATAATTTCAGAATATTATATTCTAAAATTTCATTATTTTAGCTAGTTTGATTGTCTTGTTACAGCCTCTTGCTTATATTCTTATATGTAATAACCAATTCAGTTTTGAATTGTAGTGACTTTAGGTATTTTTTCTATTTTAATTTCATCTTTTTGTATATATTAGTTTATTATGCATATCTTGTGCTATATATCTATCATTTTTATTTATATTTCTGCTAAGAAATACTCTTCTAATAGTACTCTAATTTTAGATAATATTAACTTTTTTGCACTTTTTCATCTGAACTTTTGATTTACTTTAAGAGTCTAATCTGAATTTAAAAAAAACAAAAATATGATGATTTTCTTTGATAGATATATTATTTATTTAGTTATAAGCTACAGATAATAATTTAATTATTTATCAATTTATTATATTCAAAATTATATCAACAATAATATACAGTCGAACCTCCCTAAATGCAATCTCCATAAATGCAATACCTCTTTAAATACATGTTTTTGTCTTGGCTATATGAAATCATTAGTGCTAAATGCATGTTCTATATTCTGCAAATACATGTTTACTCAAAAGATTTTTTATATCATACTAACCTCCCTAAGTATACGTAGCCAATCAGAAGTCAGTATTTAAGTTTGTTACACAAGTCTGCAGATCAAATATTAAAAGCTGCAATTTGATTGGCTCTCTCTAAATGCAAACCTTTCTAAATGCACATTTTAGGCTGGTCTATACACGTTGCATTTATGAAAGTTTGACTGTATCTATTTTTGTCTTCTTCACATTTTCTGTCAATTGGTTTTTCAATAAATTTATCAATTAATCTTTATTTTCTTTATTATCAAATCTAATTTTTTGTTTTTCTAATTTTTTACTAGACTTTCTCTTGTAAGACAACTTGGAATAAGACCTTGACAATAAAAAAAGCCTAGTTATTATTAAATAAAATATATTTAAACAGTATTAAGAACATATATAATAAATTTAGCATTAATGTTTTTTATTCTGATGAAGGTATTGTATATGATAATACTTGTAGTATAGGCTTATAAATATTTTTCTATAAAATTTATCTAATTTTGCTATAGTAAAAATCTTCTATTTACCTATACTAGAAATATTCTGTGCTTTAATATATTTAAAAAATTTATTTATTATTGGCTATTGCTTCTTAAACCAATTAAAATTTTTAGATAATATATTATTACAATTACTTATAATTAATATAAAATTAATATAAACTCATCAATAATTTACAAATTAGTTATATTATCTCTGTTCTAAATAGGATTCAAATTTATAATATAAGTTCCTTTAATTCTTTTGATTGTATTTTCAATATTCTGTTCTACTGTTATATCAAAACCTAAATAAATATATCGATTGATTGTATGTAATATCTGATTTATTGTAATAATAATAGGATTTTTAATATGATGTATATTTATAGCAATATACTTCTAAATTATATGATTACAGATTATAGATATTAATATATAAAATAAATCTATTTTATAATAATAATGCTTACCCTAACTCTAACTATAAAAAAAATTTAATTGAAAAAAATAAGATTCTAACAATTTTTATTATATAGCAAATTGACTTAAAAACTCTATTTATAACCAGTTCTTATTTACTAAATATACAAACCTGTTAAGCTATTTCACATTTCTACTAGATAGATATATACATATATATATATTACAGGTTAAATTAGTTTTTAGAACAAGTTAAACTTAATCTAAGTCAAATTAATCAATTAAAAAATCTTGGCTAGCATCAATATAATTCTGGTTTGCCTTAATCCTAAAATTCTGCTAGAGATCAATTTGATCTAGATTGAGTTTAACTTGATTTAAAAACCAATTTAACTTATAATATATATATATACAAATATATGTATGTATGTATATATATATACAAATATATATATATATTATTTTTGTGAACAACTATACTATTTCTAAACCTGGATTATTATTATACATTACTGTATTATACTGCTAAAATCTGTAAAGAAATATGTATATATTATTAATTAAACAAATAAATTATATTGTAGTAGTATATCTTTTTATTATATAAACAATAGTGATAGATATCTGTATTTCCAAATTAATTATATAAAACAATACACAAAATTTAAAACCAGATTCAAACTTATATCCCATTTACTAATTGCTTTTTTCTGAACATATCATAATATTATAGTCTAAGTTCTTATAATAGTTATAATGATTATACTTTTATTTATTGGATAAGCCTTTTGTATCTTTAGATTTTTGTTGATTTTGCTTATTAGATGAGCCTCTTGTATTTTTAAACTTTGGTTAACTTTGGTTATTATTATGATATGTTGATACCTTTAATTTACCTTTAGTAGCAACTTTTAGCAGATTCTTAAATTTAAAAACTAGAATATTCTTCTTACTTGACTTATTACTTAATTTGTTATTTAATTTATTATTCTCTAAATTAGTTATTTGAATTTGAATAAACTCTTTTCATATTCATATATATTGAACAGATAAGTCTTAACTATATAAACAAACTCATTATATTGATACAGTAGATATTTATTCATTGCTTTACATACTAACCCATACTTCTCTATAAAACATATATTCTTTTATAAATCTATTATTGCAATTATTTATATAATTTTGCTTATTATCAATTAATATTTAAAGATATCTAAAGTACTAATTAGTTTGATCTACTTTGTTATCTGTACTAGATTCATTTATAAATTATTGTCTATAGAAATCAGGCTCTTCTATTATATTATTGTGATATTTTTTAGATATCTATCAGATATTAATAAGTCTCAAACTAAATCATGCTACTTTAGTAATATTTAGTAGATAAAAAAAATGCTAGCAAACAAATCTTTGCTTCTGCTATAACAAGCATATACAACTATATGACATATCAGTAAGACAAAAAATAATATGATTTATATTATGTTTTGTTAATCTACTAATATTCTAAATTTTATTAATTTTTCTTTAATCTAGTCATTGCAAAAAAAATTGTATATATATAAATATACTATCAGCTTCACTTTTGAAATCCTCATCTTCAGGTAGATTATTTGTAGATATATATTTAATTTCTTCTATGTTAGAATGAGAAGCTATATAAAAAACACTTTTTTTATCTAGTTAATAACAACTTTTGCCATATTTGTCTGCAAATAATAACTAACAAGTATCTCAATTTTCAGAAATACTGGTAATATATTAACCCTGAAAGAATTTCTCTAATATATTTTTCATATTTTTTTCTCTTTTTAAATACCCTCAATACTACTAATTATAATTTTCCAAGTTCATATAGAGATGTATTACTGCTTTTAATAATATGTTTAATACAAGAATTTTAACTTTTAACAAACAAAGTTGATTCAATACCAAGTATAAAGAGTGTTATTGTAAATTCATACGCCTATGCTTTACAATGTTTATATAAGTATTTTTGGAGGTATTGATTTGCTGCTTGATAACTTGTAACTATTTCATTTCAATAATGATAAAACAAATCAAGAGTATTACTATTATAGCATCTTCAAAATGCAGAATAAAAATCAGTAAATGATATTTTTAATTTTTCACGAAACACTTTTTTATATAAAACTTTCTTTAGATACCAGATATAGAAGATATGATGAGTTGTAGAATATTCAGTAGAAATTGTATATTCCATAGTCAGACTACTATCAGTAACAAATATATTAGATACTCTCTCTTATATTGCTTTCTTCATTATATATAAAACTCATTAGTAGGACTCTATAGTTTTGTTGCTTACTAGAGCTTATTTATAACTTTATATTGTCATCTTGAATCACAAAAAGAGATAAAAGCATATAGTAACAGTTTGTATTTGCTGTATTATCATATCCTATTGATTCATCAAACTCATACTATAGTATGATTTGTTTTAAATTTATTTAAAATATACTTATAAGTATAGTTGTTCCAGTCTTTCATTTTGCTTTACAAATCATCTAGAATCTTTACGTTGCCTAACTAACAACTTTTTATAAAACTGCACAGTATCATAATTATTATACCATGCTAATGAACTTTGCTTTTGTATTTCTGCATAAAGGTTTTTAGAATAAAGAGAATAGTGGGAGTACTTTTTTTTAAGAATTTTCTTGATTAAAGTTGTACTCAAATAGTATTTTTTTACATAAAATTCTACATCATATTATATTTTTTTTATAAATACCTTCATTTTTTCAAATTGTAGTACTTTGAAACACATCTTATAATTGTGTATATCTTTCAATATCATAACAAAAATGTGAGAATTTAGATTTTTTTGAAAGGTCTTGAAAGGTTAATATGCTATAAACAGTTCTGCTTAACCAATTTTTTGAGATTTTTTAGGTTTGCTGGCTGATATTTATCTGAATAGTGATATTGAATTATTTTTTTTACATTATTTTTTTATTTTCTTCTATATTGATAGTTGTGTTTCAATCTATTTATATCTTAAAGTCTTTAAACTCTGTATAATTTTGAAGTAACTTTTAGTTTGTTTAAAATCATCAAATGATTGTTCTTTTTTAATTACTACCACCTCAATATTTTCATGCAAAGCTTCAATATCCACATTGCTATTACAAACTTCTTCAAAGAAGTCTTCTAAGTTAATTTTATTATTGTTATCTATAGCTTCAGATAAGTCACCAATTATATATATATTTATTGTTTATATTGCTCATTATTATTGTATAATATTCTTAAAACAAATAGAATAGTTATGCAAATTGACAAGATTACCAAGTATCAAATAAAGGAAATATGTAATAAGAAAGGTAAGTAATATATATTGTTACAGTACCGTGGCCTTCTTAACAGCAGTACTATAACAATGACACGGCTACAAGGATCCTTTACAGGTTTATAGCGGTGTCCAACAGGTAAGTATAATTTCTACTACAACTAGAAATTATACCCTTCCGTCTGTGGCAGTTTGGGCAGATAATAGTTTATAGATAAAATATATGTTTTATTAGAGAGAATAAGATAGGCTATCCTTAGGTTTCTATTCCTAAAGAAT